TAAGCCTAAAAATATATATTAATATCATTTATCTATTTCCTGTTTTGGCTTTTAATTTCCTCATAATCCACACTGTTTTTAAGCTAGCTAGCTTTAGCACAGCGAAAACATGACAATAAACAGGTTTTACTCTTAAATTAGCCCATCACTACTCCTCTCAGGTGGTTAAAATTTCTCTATTTATCAAAATTACTGTTTTATCAGTAACATATTTGTCAGTAAACTACAGCATGTTGTCTAGACTTTTAAGTTAGCATGCTAGTGTTATTGCTAATGCTAATGTGATTCAGGGTTTCAATGTGTAAGAAGAGAGTCAGAAAAACACTTTCACTGCATGCACACTGCAAAACAAAAATAAACCAGAACAGATTAATAATCTTCAAATATAAGCTAAAGGAGTTAAAATCTGCTTAGAAAAAGGGAAACATTTTCAAAGTTAGCACAATTGTTTTGGGAGAATCTTTAACCTAGCACTGCTTTAGCCATTCTCAGAATCTTTTCTTAAATATTACTGTTTATTTTAGAGGAACAATTCATTTTCTAAAATCATTTTCTAAAGGCTTTCAATTTGGAAGACTATTAAAAACTATTATTAAATTATTATTTTAATGCCTACCATATTTTTCTTAGGACATTTTAGAAAAATAATCATGAAGTAAATGCTTTCTAGCTGGATCTTTGGTGGATAAATACTGTTTTGTGTGGACCTTGCTGATCATTTTGTTACACTTCTCCAAAAATAAACCCCACTAATGAGTATTATGCCAACACTTCCTGTTGTGGACTTGATTGCTTTCGCTTATATTCAGTATGTTCCTATGTCTATTAAAAGCCAAAACCACCTACTGCTGGTGCGAGAAGTCATAAAAATTAGCTCTCCACTCCAATTTGTCCTCACTTTTTAGTTGAAGAGATTTTCTTTTCTCCCGGTTGACTATTTTAGAAGTCATTAATCAAGGGTGCTGGGGCTCGACCGTTTGTGAATAACCGGTTCGGACAGGCTGGAGAACAAAAAAAGCAAAGGCCATTTTAAGTGCTGTATTACACAACCTGTCCATCACACTCTGAGACACACACTTCCACTCAGTCAGAGTCCGAGTTTTGAGGCGAACTGTGAAGCCCGAGCGGTACTGTGTGCACAGAGGTGGGTTAGCAGTAAGAGTGGCCCTCCTCTCTTTATTAAAGGGATGGACGGAGGTGAAGAAGACGGCAGCAGAGGAGAGGGACTCGGCCAGATAGACACCTAAAATAGTCCAGAATCGACAGCCTTTGTGAAAAACAGGCTTTTGCAAAGTCACACTTGCCTGAAGCAAAACATCTGAAGTCTCCTGGAATAATAGATTCACCATGCACTCTTTTCTTTCTCAGCATGCCTTTTTTCCCTCACTACAAAGAGCTGCTGCAAAGAGACGTTATTTTCTCCGCTTTTTTTTTTTGTCCACATTTTGTCCTCTTCTACATACAAAAAACCCAAAAAAACAATACAAACGCTTTTGTTGCATTGACAGCATAATATTGATTTGACAAAATCTGCTTTTAGGAAGCCAAATCACACAGAATGGGACGGTTGGATTTATATGTTTTTCTTCTCAGGAAACAAGAAAATGTATGAGCTTTTGGCATAAACTCACTCCTTTTTTCCATCTACAATGGCCCTAATGCTATAAAAAAATCTGAATTTTTCAGATTAGTCTCTGAAATTTTTTAGAAAAAATTTCAANGNTTNTCCACAATTTATTTTGAGATTTCTGAGTTTTTTTTCTTGCAAATTTTCCACTTTCGGAGCTCAGAAATGTCCTTGTTCTTACTAGAAAAATTTAGAGTTTTTGGCAGAAATTTACTCCTTTTTTTTCTTTTTCTATCTACGACAACTCTAATACGCTCCTGTACATTTAAGTTTCTTAATCAACTATGTATGTTCACCAGGGGCGCATGGATGACTTTTAGTACTGCTGACATAATTACATAAGTCATGCTTGCAGATGTGAGTTACTATCCTGACATGAAACTCTCACTATCACCCTGATCAGATTTTAAAAAGCTGCAATTTTGTTTATTATGAGTCAACAAATTAGAAACAACAAAAGCATACACACATTCTGCAGGAATCGTCATACTTACCTGCTTACACTCTGATGAATAAACAAACACAATCTCTGTTTCTGTCCCTGGACTCCAATCCCTCCCTCTCAGCAATCCCCGGTGCAGCCAGCTACTTCGTGCTTGGAGAGCAAAAGCAAAATCAAAGTGCTGTGTGAAATATGGCTCGGATTTGCTATTAGGTAAAGCCTTTGTTTTTCATGGCACGGAGGCAGGATGGAGGATTTAAGCTTTCTTATCAGAGAGCATACAGATTAGCCAAATGGGAAGCAGCCACCGCCGCCGCCACATCGCGCCGCTTTTCAAGTTGGTAGCGCTTTAGATACCAAAGCTGGGTGTGTAGAGAGAAGTGGATAAACATTTCATCACATCCTCCCTCAGGTTTTGGTAAAAAAAAAAATGTTGGAAGAAGAAAAGAGAAATTAGGTGTAAATAATGAGCTCTTGACTTTAATTTCCTGTCATGTTGAGAGGTTTTTAATTCAAATAATAAAAAAGAAGTTTCTTTTTTTTTTTTTCCAAATCCTCTTCCAGCGTTTCGCTTCATTGGTCAGGTGTAGTGGAAAAGGAGCTGCTCATGCGTGCTAACGGGGATAAAAGCTGCTCTTGGAGACATCTATTTCTAATTTTTTAGTATATAATTACATTATTCGTGTGCATATGGCAAAGCAAAACTGGAAAAAACCCCCAAAAAAGAACCTTTGAAGCCCAGCTGCGCGTGCGCTTGGACATGCAACAAACACGCAGCGCCTCTGCGAAGGGTACTGCGAGTGCACGGCCGCGCTGTCCTGTCATCTTTTATTCAGCAGGCCACTGTGCGTCTATTTTCAGCTCTGCACCACTCCGCAGAATGAGCTGCTTTCTAGCAAAGAGAACGGGCTCATTTCAGCAAAACGTTCCCCTTCATTTCCCTTTTTACTCCAACAGATGCAAACATCTGCGTCTGTGCAAATTCGGCTGCATATTCATAGCCGCCGCCGACTCGTCTTGTGCGACGCCGTTCGACTTCTAACAGCGGGGTGGCGAAGTCATTTAAATACAGCTCCTCTCCACACCGATTCGGCTGTAAGCAAGCAACTGATGTGCTGTGCTTAATGGCATTTGGAGACCGGCAGCCTTTAAGGAAAGTGAAGTGGAAGGGTGACTTTGCGGCTCGCCACTGTTTGAAGGAGAAGCGGCGTTGAAGGGAGGCTCCACAGGCCCCTGTGGGAGCCTCATTGAGTCAGCAGTGGAAGCCTGAATAATTAGAGGCTAGCTCTGGGTCTCTGTCATCATTACACTGCTACGCGTATTTAATATTCAATGAGACTTTATTTTTTATTTATTTCGTACGAGAGTGGGCGAAAGGGCAACTTTGCTGGAGGACGAGCCACGTGCCAACAAAGATATGCTAACATGCGCTCATGCGAGAGCTCAGAGGGCTGTGAATGCAGTCTTACTGCACGTCCGCTCCAGGCGCACTGTTGCATGGCTCACGCTGCTGTACAGAAGCTACAGATGACGAGTTTGACCCCAGAGGTCAACCAAGTCGCTCCGGTTGACCTTGGTGGGAAGTGAAGCTAGACATTCAAGTCGAGTCTTGTATAGCAACTAAAATGTCTCCATTTACGCACAAAATATCTGGAAGTAAGGATTTATTAGACATTTTATGGGATTTTTAAAAAAAAAGTGTACTAACAGGTTTTTAAATACAGCAAATAAATACGTTTTTCCACCTCTAATGGGACATGGAGTTCTGGAAAACATTAAGAGATGACTTAAAATGATCAGTTTCTCTGATTTTACTCTTTATATGTTTATATTTGAGTAAAATGATCATTGTTTTATTTTATGAACTACTGACAACATGTCAATGAAATTAGTTTTTATTTGCAGAAAATGAGAAATGGTCAAAATAACTAAAATGATGCAGGGCTTTCAGACCTCAAATAATGCAAAGAAAACAAGTTGATATTCATTTAGAAACAACAAAACTAATGTTTTAACTCAGGAAGAGATCAGGAATCAATATTTGGTGGAAAAACCAGGAACTTTTCAACAGGGTTCAGTGCAGTGGGCTCTTCATCTTATCCAGATCTGTATTTCTGCAATTCAACAACAACAAAAAACGGGTTGGGATAGGTCTATGGTTTATATAAAACATGTTTGTTATATTTTTTACACTAAATAATTCGTAGATAATGAGATTTCAGTCTGATCAGTTCTGTCCATTTTCAGCTGTTTTAGGGCGTCCTGTCCCTTTAAATCCTGCTGCTGGCCACGCCCCCAACTCAGTGCTTACACTCACAGACGTGTAATTATGCAGTTGTAGATCCTTGAAAAGCATTAGTAGAGCCTCCTTTACAACCAACAAGAATTGTAAGTCAACAACAAAACGCCTGTCTTTTCCAGCAGCCATTGTACAGCGGTAAAACCAGCTGACCAAACGTGCTGGAGCTCAGCTTCGGTTGCGAGGTAGCGTTGATTGTGCCTTAAACAACCAGGAGGTTTTTGAAAGACCTCATTTCCCAAACGCCAAAAAACATGAACTTAATTCTTAAAGGCATTTATGAACCTGGAGAAAAGTTTATTGAAAAAGTCTGACATGGAGTTCTGCTAATATACCGGAGGTTATTATATTAAAAATCTATGTAAAGACGGTGGGCCTCATTAATCAACATGAAGTGTAATTAAAAACGAAAAGGGACAAGCTTGATTAAAGTTATGAGTTACTGGCAGAGCTGCTGTTGTATTGGGCTGTGGTTTCGTTTACACGGTTCTGCTTAATGAAGTGATCAAATATCAGTTTTGCTCAAATGGAACCAATAAAAAGCCACAACTTTGTAGAAGAAAAACAGCTGTAAGTGTTTTTTTTTTTATGCCCATGTTCTGTTTGTTAACAAATTGCCTTTTTGTGTTTAGGACCCCATAGTGACTGCACAACCTGAGAAAACAAATCTGGAGGTCAACTCATTCAAGAATATCTGGAGAAGCCGGCAGGTTAGATCTTCCTCTTTGCTTATGTCCTACCTTTTATCTAACAGTGAAAGCCAGCGGCGGTTATCGCATGCTAATATATTCCCAGTGGGCTCCTGCATGCATTATGGGCCTGGATCCAGGGTATTTGGACATGTTGGCATGTTGTTGTGCAGAGAAGAGAAATTTCTCACCATTTTTCCATCAATCCTCTTAGCAGAAACATACCTGCTGCTGGTGGCTGATGTATTGTTACTGTGCATTGTGCAGCGGAGCTCCATTTGTCTCAATCACACAATTCTTCTGTTATCATTCCAGCTCAGTTACTTCTGGGAATGTCCCCCAAGCATAACATATGAGTAATGCTGCGCATATCCATTACACAAATAAAATGTGAGGCCAGGTTCCTGTTTTTACAAATGGCATTTTGGGAGCGATTAAAGAGACTAGCTACGCATTTAGCTGAAGAATAATCCCAAATATCAATATTGGCATTGGGACTAATGGGTGGTGGACATTTATAAATAAATGTTGCACTGTACTAATTGGGCAGATGTTGTTTTAAAACCTTTCTGCTGTTCAATACTTCAGCAGAAAGGTGGCGTTGTGCGCTGGATTGTAACGACTGTCAGTCTTTACCATTAAGATCCAATTATTCTTAGGACAATAGGTTTTCCAAAGGAGATTTGACCTTTCTAGAAGACATTGCAACAAAATGAACAATGTAGGTTTTCGGAAATCCTCTGGTCCTAAGACAATATACTGAAATGTTAAACAAAAAGCTTTGGGTTTCTGGAAAGTAACCAGCAAATTTAAGTCAAAATGGAGTCAAAAGCCATTAGACAAAACAGACTTGGTGAATGATAATGTCTGAGATCACCTTGAAAACAGTTGTATTTAGGCTGTGACTGTCTGTCTTTTAATGATTCAGGTGAAAAACAGAGCCACTCTGTTGGAATTACTGCAAACCAGACTTTAATCAAGCATTCCTGAATGAATGCAAACGCTAAGATTAACATTGTGAAAACTAAGATATGCCTCAGGTTGTATTAGCAGATAAACAATGAATTTTTCATGAAGAAGGTCAAATTAAAACATCTAAATCTTGCATATTTTAAACATCGCCTGCCATTTAATGATTTTGTCAGAAACAGTCGATAGAAAGTCTATTGGACATGCCACATTCAAAGACCAGTTCAGAGACATGTTTTGATCAGCCATGCTAACAAGGCTATAAAAAAAACATGAAAACACATGAAAATATATTTTACACCATAGTCTCCTGACAGTAGCTGCTTTAAATAACTCTAATATACATTAAAAGGAAGAAAACAAAGTCTATTTAGCTGCTGGATGAGGCTATAAGGGGGATGCTAATTTTAGCAATGATTAGCTGACCTAATATCGTAGCAACTAGAGTTAACAAGTTGCATAAGAACTACTAAATCAGTCTTACAGTTTAACATGAACACTATTTAGACTCCTACTGAAGCTGAATTTTATTCTGTGTAGCAAGAAGCTAACATCTAGCAGCTAATAAGCTAAGGCTAATGCATTCCCATTAACTGCTACTAGCATAAATGTGCTAACAGCCTCTCCAGACAATTGCAGCACCGCTTTTAAATCAGAAAAAAGTAGGATATAACAGTGTTACACAGAAAACAATAAACTAAACAATCAACAGAAAGATAATAGCTGTGCTAAATGACTAGGCTAAGTGCGATTAGCAGTAAACAGTGGCGTTTTACCGTGGGGGTCACGGTGGGGTTGTTGTTTGTTTCTCAGGGTTCAAAACAAAAGAATGAAGCAAATAAAAAAAACATTTCATCATTTAATATATTAAGTGAGTCACTTGTGTCTCCAGAGCTGCAGATTGCTAGACATTAGCTTTGTAATGCTAACGATTAGCATGTATGAACTGTTAATGCTGGCTCACAGCTTTTCATTTCATCCTGTTGATGAAAACCAGAAACATTGAGTGATGTAATTCTCTGTGGCTTTGTTTCAGCTCAGTGTTTTGGTTAAAAACTCGTTAACATTTTATGCTGTGCTTGAAAATTGCTGCCATTGCGGGTTCTGTCTTTTAAATTAGCCAGTATCCTGCCTTTCCTATGCTCGCTCAACAGTCCCGGTCTGAGTGGACGGCAGCTCGTTGCACGCCCCTCTAAGGCCTGAGCAAAGGGGAGAGAGAAAACTGAGAGAAATTACATGCTAATGTTCCACTGCAGAACCAGAAACGGTCAAAACTCGGGTCTCAGGCCTGTGAACATCTCTTTATTGATCTCATATTCTATGCTTTTTCTTTGGAAACAAAGTCTATCAGTGTAAGCTTCATGCTATTTAATTATCTGGAAATCACAATAAAAAATGATTTTATATGGAGTGGTCTGTTGCCTTATTGGCAGCACTGGCAAAAATCCTTAAGAAGGCGTAAAATATATGAATCTGTGACTGCAGCAGCATAATCCTACACTGAAAATAATAAATCCATGAAATCATGTTCAACACATTTACTGGCATCCTTAATGCAAACACTTTGTACATAATGGTTCCTTCTTATTTCTGTGGGATTTGAATAAAAGGAAGGTGGATTTTGCAACCATTTCTGATAATTTGATCTGGATTAATATCTTGCTAAAAGACCCAATTTTGTATCTAAAATATCCTGATATATCAAAGAGTTTCTGATGCCATGCACTCGTACCAAAGTTCAAAGTGAGATGGAAAGTATTTAAAAACTGGCCCGCAGCATCACAGATCATCACAAAGCTTTGATGAAATCTATTTTGCATAAATAAATTATATTTTTTAACCAAAGAACAGACTTTTAACCACTGAGTAAGTTGGATTTTCCCACATTTTGTTTGTTATTGTGATTAAAAGTGTTTATTTTAGATTTTTGTTTGTTTACGATGTGGCAACATGTTTTATTTATGACTGTACTAAAAGCAGAGCAACAGAAGCAGCCATTTTGAGTAAAAACATGAGTACGTCTTCACGTTTCCTTAAATGTAGGTGAAACAAATGTAGGCGGTTAGAACAAGAGAGTTGGCTCGAGGAAAAATGTACAATTTGTGCTTCAGAAGTCTTTACTGAATAATTGATCACTGATCATTAATGTGACACTAATTAAAGGCAGCAAACTCATTTATCAAGATGGCTGCCGTGGCTGCAGCAGCACAGTGTCGCCACTTTAACGGGAAAATCAACGTTGAGGTTTGTGTTAGTGTTGTGTGTGTGTGTGTGTGTGTGTGTGTGTGTGTGCGTGTGTGTGTCCAGGTGTGGTGAAGAGATTGCGGTTTGGCTTTTTGTGAATTTACTAAACCACAACAAGGGACCAGAAAAACGTCAAGAGGGAGAAAAATGGAAAAAGTGAATTGTAAATCAATTAATTGTTTGCATCTCTTCCAGGAACAAACATTTAATCGACTTACACTTAATGGTTTATTAGATTACAATTAATCCCCATTAATTAACTAATAATGTCCACTTAGACCTTCTTTTATGGTGCGTTCACACCGAACGCTTCAAGCTGGACGTGTGTGCAGTAGGCGAACGTTGAGAGGAGCCGGTCTGTTTGTACAATGGCGGATGAAACTGACACCAAAATATTATGTAGTAAAGCTTCTGCAATCATAACGGAGACTCGGGTGTCTTTCCTGAACATTTTGTGTTCAGTTTCTATTGATAACGACACGACGGGCTTTTTTTCATCTCCCGGTTACTTTGATCAATAGTGGATTAAATGTTGGGATTATCTGGGTTTTATTTACTGAATTCAGCAGAATGTGGCCACCCGGCTCGTGCTTGAATATGCCAGATAATTCTCAGGTTTTGTGAGTTTCACAAGCTTTGTGGGCGCCGACGTGGGTCGCTATTAGTGCTGTTTTTGTCTCACCAGAGCCCAGTTTGACGACCTTTAACCCACATTGGTGCCTGCATCTCTTGGCAGGACACCAACTACAGATCACTGTGTCACAAAGCGGAGTCTCTCTGATTGGTTGACGCTCCGCATCGAGCGGCAGAAGTTCAGATTTTTCAACTCCAGCATCAAACGCTCAAAACGCTTCAGTCGCGCAGCAAAATGAGCCACGATGTGTGTCTGCGTCGACTCTGAATGTAAACCAGGACGCTCAGATCACGTTTGGTGTGAACGCAACATTAGTGTTGTAGTTTGACTGCCATCCAGAAGAGGGCGCCGCTGGTCATTCTAAGAGGAGTCAGTTGATACAGAATTAAAGATGGCGGCACCATACCAGAATGGGAAAGAGAAACGGTCCAAACAAAGTCCGATTTGGGTTCTGTTATGAAATATATACACTCAAGAAACTCCTAAATTTTCCCCTTAACACTCCTTCATGACAGAGCAACGTCAACATATTAGAAAACTCAAGTTTTTAATAAAATGGCCGCTTATTAATTAATCATTAGTTAATCAATAAGATTAATCAACTTTAGTTTAACTCATTAATCAATAACTTACATCTCTAATCCCTGGTAATAATGGAAACCTCTTAAAGGTTTGGATATAATAATAATAAATGCGCTAATCCTATTATGCTCTCCATTTCTTACCATCTTAATTAGCAATAAACACCATAAAAGCAGCAATAAAATAAAGAGGTTTGACGTTACCTGAAGCTAGAATTGATATGGAAGCCTAATAATATTAAAAATCCTTGCTTTTTCCTACTTTACTTATTTATTTAACCTTTAATTAACCAGGAAGTCCTTTCAGGATTACCGTCCATGTGCAGAAACCTGGTGTGCATTTGAAGCCTCAACACTTCAGCTCTTCATTTCAGGCGTTTTATTTCCTCCCTTTTGTTTCTTTCAGCACATTTTAATTCAGTCTCAAAGTAGTTAACGATAAGCGACGCTGTGCCGCCTCTGAAGGCTGCACCTCCCCCCGTAGGGCCCGGTTCTCCAGAACCGTGACGGCTGTTATTTCAGACGTCTCCCCCTTTCGCCGCGGGGCGCCATGTTTATGCCGCTCGTTGCATTAAGAGCAAGCGGAGGAATCA